TTTTTTTTTTTTTTTTTTTTTTTTTTTTGCTCATCGTCTTCTCTCCAGCTCTCTCTCTCTCTCCAGCTCTTTCTCCTCTTTCTTCCTCCTGACTTCCTCCCTCGCTGACTGAATCACCACGGTGATGCATGTGCCAAACTATCTCTACCCGACTCCTCCACACAGCAGCACCACGCAATCCACTTCATACCAGCAGTTTACACACACACACACACTCTCTCTCTCTCTCTCTACAGTGGTGCAGTGCGTACAAATCACAGGAATTTCTGTACATATGTTGAGATCATAAATGTGACTTCTAGTAATTTAACAGATCAAACAACTTGATTTTTATTATTTGTCGTCGTCGTCGTTGTCTCTACCCCCCCCCCCCCCACGCCTCATTTGATCTGGAAACACGACTTAACTGTCTGAATGAAGAGGATGTGATGTGTTGAGAATGGGGAAAAGGCCGACATGTCTATGGGTAAAACTGAAAGCCGGATAGCATAACGAGATGCGAGATGTGGGAAATATGGTTACGAGGGAGGGATGATCTCGAGCCGTTGGCACAGACCTCACTATTCCCCACTGCGATTGGAACACAGCGCGTGTTCCCAGAAGGCCGGGCTGCTTAGTTGTCATGTTCCCAAAAGGCTCCGTCAGTGTCCTTTGCACGGTGTCATTTGATGCACAATTCCCAATTTCATGCTTTTTTAAAAAAATTTATTTATTTTTTTTTGCCGTCGGTGCCGTGTGATGTTGTCGCTTGTGCCGGGCCAATCAGAATTGATTATGAGGCCGCCGTTGGAGGACGCACTGACCTCGGCGCACAAAACCCTGGAGTCTTTTTATCTCAAGAGGAAGCGTTTCAGCGTTTACCCGTGAGAGAGTGCACTGCTCTGTGTGTCTTTGGCTAAATGTTGCTTTCATATGTTTTTATGTAGTTTAGGTCTCTTCAAGGAATCGTTTGACATTTTTGGGAAATGGGCCTATTTGCTTTCTAGCTCACAGTTGGATGATGGGGTCGATACCGATCTCTCGTCTGTCGGGTAACTGTGAAGCTACAGCCAGGAGAGGGATAGCTTAACTTAGCATAAGAGGGGAATATGGCTAGTAAAAACATCCACCTACCAGCACATGTAAAGCTCACAAACTAACACGTTTTTATTTTGTTTTGTTTAAGGTGAACAAATAACAAAAGTTGGGTTTTTACGAGTGTTTATATTTCATGACGAAGCGTATTGATTTCCTGGAGAGAGAGACTCCGATAAAGCAAAGCTGTGGGGAACTGCAGAGTTTGATAAGCCTTTGTCATTACGAGTAACAGCTCCCACATTACACACATTTCACCCATTGTTAATGTAAAACTATTGATTAGTGCAGCTTCAAACAAATCGTTCTTCCACTTCATACAACCTTGAGTAACTCCACATATAATCTCATTGTACTCTCGTCTCTACTCTCCATATTGCTCTGAACAGGCAGACAGGCTGCCCTCAATAAACCTGGTTGTAATGGAAATTGTTTGGAAAGGGCCGTCCGTATGGATGCTTGTTGACCGGTCCGAGCATGTTTATCTGCGTTTTTCTGCTGATGTAATGCTCAGACCGCACCGAGAGGCAGAGAGCTCCAGATTCAGCGCTTTTGGCTTTTACTGAACAATAACGGAAGAAATGACACAAGACGAGATGAGACAAGCCGGTCCGAGCACAGCCCCCGGCCCTGCCTACAGTAGCTTGGAGGGCCAGATGGCTGTCAGATCTGAACGGGATGGAGGCAGTCATTGATCCGGCGCCTACTGTCGGGTCCACTCCCGCAGGGTCCTGACACAGCGCTATAATAAGAGTCCCCAGTTGAGAGCACTTAGAGTGACCTTTCACAGATTGCCTTACTGCATCGGAGCCATTTCAGCCAGAAATTGGAGATAATTTGAACAAAAATGCATCGCTTCAGATCTTGCCGTAAATAAGATAATGTGATGGGAACAGGCTGTCATGTTCCATGTGTCTTCGTCTGTGTGGTTTACTTTTAGCCGCCTTGAGCACCTTTCGGTGTGCGCGTGGCGTCATAATGACTTATTCAGCATCAGATGAGAGCTGAGGTCTTCAGGAGGACCTGGCTTTCACTGGCCTTATTCCCTGCATTGCACCAGTGTATTATCATGCACATGTCATTCCATTAGAAAAGAGGAATTGGGGATCGTGGTTGATGGAATCTTTGGAAAGTGCCGTCATGAAGCAAATCTATCAGTGATGAGAAAACAAAATTGCACTCTGTTGCTCATAAATAAGTTGTGCAGGAAGTAAGGACACATTGTAGTTAATGACTATTGTATTGCATTTTACCTTAAAGCCCAGGGTTGTCAGTCGTAAAAGCACTCGAGCTGTGAGGCAAAATGTGAATAAGGTAACTGGAGTGGGAGCTGCTGTCAAAGCAGGGAAGTGAAAACGAGCAGCTTTTGACCTATTTATACCACAGAAGAAGAACCAGTGAAATGTCCGATTTTCTCTTGAACGACACTTAATGTTTACACGATATCGCATGTAAAGTAGGTTGATTTGCATCAGGAACGTGATAGTTTTACCTTGCTGACCTGTTGCCCGGGATCATGTGCTGACACTGGCTGTCTGTTTCTTACCAGGCGCTTGAGTCAGAGGCCGACGGCGGAGGAGCTGGAGCAGAGGAACATCCTCAAACGTGAGTGTCTTCATTATACTTAACATTATCTGTGAGCTCACAAATAACCAAAAGACAAAAACCTCCAAAATGACCCTCTCTAACTACGTGACCCTTCATTAAGCGTATTGTAGCGAAGCATGGGTCCATATTTGCTGCCTGGTTGCAGAGGCCCAGTTATGTGAAAGCTAGTGGCATACATCTTTTACTCCTCCGTGGTCCGTCTTTTCATCTGAGGCACACGAGCAGCAGGGCTCCCTGAGGAGTCATGTCCAGGGAGACGGGTTGCTTTTGCTCAAACACACACATGCAGTATCAGAGAGGAGCAGCTCTGTCGCCCGCGATTCTGCGTCTCTCACATCAAAGACCGATTTACCAGCAGCTCCTGCTCTCCTTGCCGGAAAATACAAAGCCTAAAGAATCCACGCGTGACAAGTCACGTCCTCGCCATCACTCGCGCGCATACAGTACCACGGTTAAGCTTCATTTTTCCAGGGTGGAATCCAGAACTGCGAGCAGCATTACGGATACAGTACGTGTTCAGCACGAGCACAAAATGCAGTTCGCCTGCCAAAGCTTTCACAAACAGGAGCTCGTGTCCCAGAATGCTTCTTGTTTACTCTCGTCTCTCCTTTTAACTTGCTGCTCTGAGCTGGAGGTTTTTGTTTTTTTGTGTCTGTGAATATATGTATAGTACAACACATGGATGCGTTTCAGGGAGATGTAAGAGCTTTACGTGATCAGAATTCAGTCGTAGTAAAAGAGAGAAATGTTTATGCCTAAATGGGTTAATCACTTGATCAGGAACATGGACCAAAAAAGCCCTGGGACAACTTGAAAGGAACGGAGCAATCGTTCTCCCCTGATACCCATCCCTAATAGCATCAAACAGCAAAATGATGGAAAGTGCAAGAAACGTATCCAGTTTAGTGTGAATCTAATGAGCCACATTAACGCAGATGACGTGTTTGTTCCCCTTTCAGTGTCCTCTAAATATTTTTGTGCACGCTCGCAGCATAACGCTCGTCCTCTTCGTTTCTCTGCAGCTCGCAACGAGCTAGAGGAAATAGAGGAGAAGAGGGAGATAAAACGAAGGCTATCACGAAAGGTGAGTCCAAAATAGCTCCGAAAGTGCAAACCCACATGTGATGTTTAGGCATATGGGGGGGGGGGTGTGAAGTTGGCAGGATAAGCAAACACTGTGACAGTGACTCGGGGATCTGGTCCGGTAAAGTCCCGGCATTGTAGTTCTCAGGTCTCCCCCAGGGGACGCCGTGTCCTTGTCGCCCCTTGCCCCCCCCCCC